ACAGTATAAATACACTATTATTAATTTTCCAGTCAAAGCTATTTGTGATGCCTTATTATTCCAGGCAGTCACACTATACTATGACCTACAAAGAGTTGTGTATTGAAAATGACCAAAATGGTAAATTCAAGTCTAATGGTTCATGATAATATTTTCAAAGATTGTCCTCTGAATCCTGTGGATGTAAAGCGTAAGAAATGCATAAAGGCTTAATTAAAAAAAGCCACTTTACCCTGAAGGATTCCTTACAAGATCTCTTTCTTTTAAAAAAAAAGTAGCATCAGGCTTCAATTATTCTCAGATGTCCCAATAAACGTAGGTGGAGTCTAGGTAAGAAATTTCTAGGATTCACATCAAAGCAAGGGTTGATGTGAACAGTCAAAAGTCTTCAAACAGGCAAGGGATGACTCCATGTTAGGGACTTCAAAGCCTGGCCTTTCATTCAACACGCCAACAATAAAATTGGCTGCAATGAAATAATGTCCTGGAAGTCAGTCCTTTGATTTGCTTTCACTGAGAGTGCCTCTGTGCGTGGAGATGCCAGGTGAGCTATTGATGAATTCAATTACAGCCAGCTTCAGAGAGGCTTCAGGAGTGAAGGAAGCAACTGGTCATATTCAAGCAGCTGCTAGCAGAAGAAGGCAGGCATTTAACACAGTGATTTACTGTTACTTGCCTAATGCCATTACTACTAATGGCTTGTCTTCCAGGAGTTTGCTTTCTAGGAGAAAGCCAGGCACATAACGGATGACTTCAGAAAATGCTGTGGCACCATGTTGTGCCACCTTACACATCACATGAGCTTACAGCTAGGTCTGTGTTCTCAGAAATGGTCAAAGCTTTCCTGCCTTGCTTGCAAGGCTGGATTAAAATGCATGGGATCAGGCTGTTTGTTTCATCCTAGCTAGGGTCCAGGAGCGGTCAAATAATAAAGTCTCCCTAATTTTGTGAGTTATTCTAGAAGCAACAGCATATAAATTAATGATTAGAAGTTAAATACAAAGTACTGTAAACAGTAGCCAAAAAATCTATAGCAGAATCTATTTCCAGTCCTGCCAAATACTGCTCCCATTTTAACACATCATCTTCCTATATTTCACACATGAAAACTGGCATGCACAAGGACAAGCAACAGTAAAGCATGCTTAAGATGGCAAAAGCTATTAATGAGGAAGAATATACAATCCAGGAGCGCCTGCAGTAGTTTGTTTTTGCCTGAGCCTACTGGGATTGGGAAGACATGGTCCCTTTGTTTGGTCTTCCCCATGCTGAATTTTTTGAGAAGAAATTATTTTTTTGCCACTTTCAACTCAGCAATTTAAGTGGTTTGAGTACAATAAGAGGAAGTGAGAGAAAATGGGACATTTAAAAAGCAGCTGAAAATTATAAATATTTCTCCTTAGAATACAGGCAATAATGTGGAACATGAACAACAGCTTCACCCATGCCTGACTGACACTGGCCGAGTCTAAAGACTTTGTGAGTGCCTGTCTTTCAATACAGCTGGTGGGAAAATGTTGAAACAATCCAAGGTAAAAACTGTGATTATTTTTGGAAATTACAGAGCATAAAATTATGGCCAAAGAAAAGGTTATGCTATATTGTTTACTGTAATCTGATGATGATGATGATAATAACTAACACTTTCACAATGGTCAGTTGGAGATAAGAGCTTGGTGGTTGGTAGAACAAATAAAGCTCAATTCAGAAAAAGACAGATAGTACACCTTACAAGATAGAAGTACAGCAGAGTCTTGCTTATCCAACATAAATGGGCTGACAGAACGTTGGATAAGCAAAAATGGTGGATAATAAGGAGGGATTAAGGAAAAGCCTATTAAATGTCAAATTACATTATGATTTTACAAATTAAGCACCAAAACATCATGTTTTACAACAAATCAACAGAAAAAGCAGTTCAATACACAGTAACATTAATGGAAAAATTTGTTTCTAAAATCGATTCGTTTTTTGGGGGGTTTTGCGTTTCGATATTTAAAAGAATTCCAAAATTTTTCTTTTAAAAAGTTCGATATTTACGAAATTTCGTAAATGTTAAAAAATTTACGAAACATTAACGAAACAAATACAAAACAATAACGAATCGATTCGTTAATGGCGGACGCGACCGCGCAATACGCTAAAAAACCTCCAAATGGGACAGGGGGAACTTCTGAAGCTTCCCTCTCCCTCTGTTGTTGACTGTTGGTGTGATATTATAATTTTTTTTCACTAATTAAACAAAAAACAACTATAAAACTTGCCCCAGACATGCGGAAATAATAACGAAACGACCTCAAACCGATAACGAAACGAATACATAACGAATCCGAAGCATTTACGAAACGAATTTAAAAATTCGTTTCGTTTTTAAGTTGCTCCAGAATGGTTCGTTATCGCTTCATTATAAAAAAAATAACGAATTTTTAACGAATTACGAATTAACGAAACGAAACCGCCCAGCCCATATATATATATATATATATATATATATATATATATGTATATGTATATGTATATGTATATGAAAACTATATATCAGGAGGCAGACTACGTTGAATAATACAGAACATTGGATGAGCAAAAGTTGGATAAGCAAGACTCTACTGTAATGCCGGTTGCCATGGCTCAATGCTATGAAATCCTGGGATTTGTGATTTGATGAGTCACCAGTGCTAGAAGAAAAGGCAGTTTGGTGAAACTATAGTCCCTATGATTCTATATCAGTGTGCCATGGTAGTTAAAGTGGTGTCGAACTGCATTCATTCTAAAGTGTAGCTAAACCTTTGGACATCACTTGTCATTGACCTGTGAAAATAGATTTGATATGTCCTGGATAAAAGGATCCATTTGGAAGTGTTTATAAAGCCCGTGTATGTGTGTGTGTGTGTTCGTGTTTGCTGTCCACTTATGGCAACCTCATGAATCTCATAGGATTATGTTAGGCAAGGAATATTCAGTTCCTTGCCAGTTCCTTCTTCTGAAACACAGTCCAACAGCACTTGGTATTAAGTACTAACCAAGGCTGACTCTGCTTAGAGTCTAAGATCAGATGGGATCTGGTGCCTTTAGCATATTTAGGCCCAGAGCCAATATACCTGATGGGTAGGTTGCATCCATAACTTTAGCACCTTTTGCTTCAATTTATGCTGGTGCCTTGACTCATCCCTTCCAGAAAATAAACATTTTGTCCAGAAATAAATAATATGCATTAGAGTTGCACTGTTCCTTATATGGAGTGACTTTCTAATGTGTCACAGACCACACATAGAATAAAGAAGCCAAGCTGTGATTTGCAATTTCTTGCTGTAGGATCTGGAAATCTAAAGGAACACATTCTGAATCTATTACAATGAAAGTCTTTGAGATCCTTTCCCAAGTTCCAGTGAAGAAATATTTGTGTTCCAGCAATTTCTAACTTATGACAACCCTGAGGCAAACCTATTGTGGGGTTTTCTGGCAGTTTGTGACTTGCTCAAAACCACCCACTGGGTTTTGTGGTCAAGTGGAGACTAAAATCCTGATGTCTGGATATATAGTTCAACACTCTAACCATTATTATTATTATTATTATTATTATTATTATTATTATATTATAACTTTATTTGTACCCCGCTAGCATCTCCAAAAGGATTCGATGCGGCTTACAACAAGCCGGAGCCCAATACAATACAACAACACAATACAACAATACAATACATAGCAAATAAAACAGTTGAAGCAGAAAAACAATAGCAGTAACAATACAACAGAACATTATTAAAAACTGAGCCGGCCGTAGTAGGGTACAGGATTAAAAGTGCTGAAAGTGTCGGAGGGATATGGGATTAAAAATATATAAGTGCAGTGTGCGTTGAGGGTGATCTTGACTCTGCTAAAGTGCTTCTGGGCTTGATAGTGGGGTTCCTAATCTGAGAAGGCACGTTGGAACAGCCAGGTTTTCAGGTTCTTTCTGAACACCGCCAAAGTAGGGGCCTGTCTAAGATCTTTCGGGAGGGCATTCCAGAGGCGGGGGGCCACCACTATTCCATACTGCTGACTCTCTAACTGTAATAATTAAATCAGAGCATATACAAGACTACAGCCACCACAGTGTAATTCACCAAGGCAAGGTCAGTGTATTTTAAACCTAAAGATGTTTCTAATGCGGTTCTGATATTTTTATTGGACTTGCCAATTATGCACTTGTTAGTCCAGGTATCTTCACTGGTGAAAAATATGTTACAGAAAATCCCGATTCAGAATATCCTGATCCAAAAAGTAGTCATCATTTTAAGAAATTATGATACACCCCCCTCCCTCCCAAAAAAAGTTGTTGGTTTCAAAAAGTTTTAAAGTGGGTCTGGAAAAAAGTAAAGAAAATGGGTTATGGGTTGTTGTGGCCCATGGCAGGTTGCTTGTATGTAAAACCAGTCCTCAGATTCTGTGATATTTCCCATTCCTGCTTTTCAGCTTCCTTGCAGTAGATGTGAACAGTTACACGGGACAGCCTAAACTCTTTATCCATCTGATTTTGGGGACCCAGTGGTGTCATTTCTGCATGCACGCACGCACGCACGCACGCACGCACACACACACACCATGAATCAGGGGTGGTAGGGGTGGTAGCATATTTATGTCCATTTTCAAAAACATTCAAGATTTCCTTCCTAAAAAGTCATCAATGGCTGATAGCCAGTGGTTCATGATCCCTACTTTGAGTAGGACTGGGCCCAACAATTACTTAGGGTAATATTTTACAAACGGAAGCTGTATTGATTCTTTTTTAGGGGGGAGGGTTCCTCTTTTAAAAACCCTTGAGAACAATAGCTGTTGTAGGCTTCTCAATGTCATTGCATCCCAGCCAAAATTCTTAAATAAATACATCCAAACCAGTATATTTCAATAAACACAGCTATCTGTTTTTACAATTCCACCTCTATCATTGCTTTATACGCCTCAATTCAGTCTCTTCTTCCATCACTGAACACTGTGATACATAAATGCAACTTACATAAGGATTTATATTTGGATCTGATTTTATTGAAAATTATGAGAAATGATTTTGTGCTAATTCCTAATATTAGAATATCACAATTTTTAGCTGGAAATCTTATAATGTAATTGTACTATGTGTAATAGTTTGAATTATTTTTTAAAGTAAAAATATCCCATTATTTTGCTAAATGGGATTGAGCAAATCAACTGGTTGCATTTCCACATCTGTAGGGTCCGCACCAACAGTAGTCATTTCAACATCAAAACCTGTCTGTAGAAAAGGACAAATTTCAGAGTCATACCAAGATTTATGCTTCTTTTCGATTACTGTGAGGATTGACTTCATTGAATAGCCAAATTCAATTATGCTCTTCTTTTTATACTTTCCTCCATAAAGATATCCTGCAGTATGCATTGCAACTAAGCGTCCATTTCTGTCAAACACAGGTGAGCCTGAAGAGCCATGGAAGAAAGAGGTGTCATAGGTGACTGCATTGTGATTATCAGTGATTTCTGGGAAATCTCTAGGATTGTACACATGGATACAATTTATACCCTTGGCATCAATTTCACACTGGAAGTAGTTGCATTGTGTCAACTGTCCCTGCTGTAAGCGACGAGTACTCTCTTCTTTGCGTTCATACACATTGATAACAGAACAGGCATCTGTCCGCTTTGCTTCTCCATCTGGATGACCAATGATATCAATAAGACCATTGCATGGTGGAGGGAAGATGAACTGCACCAAGCTGTCAGGAAGTGAACTTTTGTTTCCATTTTCTTTCAGTTTCAGGACAGCAAAATCAAGATCGTTGTCTGATATTTGAAACCAGTTTTCAAGTGCAAACCAGTTATCAGGATCAGGGTGTGAATTTTCATAAGAGAAAGTCACACGAGCTAACTGGCTTATTTTGAGCGCCCAGTCTTTTTCTTCCACACCTTCTCCAACTATCAACTTTATCACATGGTGGCAGGTGAGTATGTACTTGCCACACAAGACAAAACAAGTAGCAGAGCCCTCCTTTGCAATATTGCCCCACTCTATATACCCAACTGAATTACTGAAATGAACATGGAGCCTTTCCAGTTTAACTGGAATTGAGGTATTTTTCCCCTTAGCAAAGTCTTCTTTGCACACTCGAAGTTGCTTCTTGTGATTTTGAAAGAAGGTAATGATTAATTGGCTCTGTTTCTCCAGATCAGGATATGTGTTTAGGAGATTAGATTTAAAAAAATACAAAACTTTGAGTTGTGCTGCTTGAGAAACTGGAAGGATCTGTTCATTATTTGGACCCTTAGTAGCACTGACCCGTCTCTCAGTCTTTACATGAATCGTAAAGGTCCTGTTAGATAATGAATTCACTGGGTGGCTGCTTGGTATGGACATTTTATTCTCCATTAGCACCCAATCTCTTTCTTTTAGAAGAGGCGTAAAGCGGCCATCTTTACATATGGCATCCTTTATGTGTTCTTCTTTTGGAGCAAAGACACATAGATTGCAATGTTCTTTAAGAAGCTGGTTACATCGAATTACCTTATCACTTAGTGGCTCATTGGTTTCAAATTTATATGCATTTGGAGCAACAAAGAACAAGACACATTCCTTGCTCTTCATTTCATCTTGTCTGTATTCCAGTTCAACAGGGCTCTTAGTTTGCTTACTTCTGTAAAATTTCATTTCAAATTGGGAGCCACCAGGCACATATTTTATAGGCATCCACAAATTAACACAACCCTCAATCCCTTTCTTCCCTATCAAGTACATCTTGCCCTTCTTTTTTTGCATGTAAGTCTTAATATCTTCAGAAGCCTTGAGGGCAGTAAGCAGGCTATTGTGGATCGTGCCTTTCACCACATGCTCCTTTCCACTATCTCCCAAATTCACAGTGAATTCTCGCTCTTCATCTGTTGTATTCTCAATGTTTGCTGGAGTCTGCCCTTCAGGATGATTCCCAATTTCTGTCATAGGATGTCGTCTTTTCACTATTTTGATACTTGAACTGGGCTCAGATCCATCATTACAATGCTAATAAAAAAGAAATGAAATAAAAATGTTTGTTTATGTGATTTGCTTTTTTTAAAAAAATGGTATCTATTTGAAGGTCTGCAGTGTGGCAATAAAAGCAGAAAAAAGACATTTTATACAAACACTATTGCTGCAGTGCAAAACCGACTGGCAGAGCTATTTTGGGTGATTAGGGGACTAATCCAACCTGGCTCAAAGGAGAAATTCAACCAATAAAACAGTATTGTTGAAAGCTTTCATGGCTGGAATCACTGGGTTGTTGTAGGTTTTTCAGGCTATATGGCCATGTTCTAGAATCATATTCTCCTGATGTATCGCCTGCATCTATGGCAAGCATTCTCAGAGGTTGTGAGACCTCACAACCTCTGAGGATACCTGCCATAGATGCAAGCGAAACATTAGAGGAGGAAATGCTTCTAGAACATGGCCATATAGCCTGAAAAACCTACAACAACCCAATAAAACAGTACACTGTGAATAACTTTCCCACCATTTTGCAGATAAGACTGTTTGGATTCGTTCTGACTTTTATACCATAGTTGATAACAGCTCTAGTGGACATAAACCTGTCTCCTTCTTGTCCAGTGTTGATGGATTCTTTTCAGTTTTTGTAACCTAAGGATGTGGACAGGATTCTTGGAGGTGAGAGCCACCACATGTACTTTAGACCCCTGTTCTTCCTGGCTCATAAAACAGGCCATAGGGGGACTGGTGGAATGGGCCGGGGAGGTGATTGCTTCCTTGCATTAGAGCAGGCTGGCCTCCGTGAGGCTATGGTAAGACCACTTCTTTAGAAACCTTCACTGCTTTGAGTCCCCCTTGGGGTGAGAAAAGCGGTATACAAATACTGTAAATAAATAAATAAATAAATGCCTTGATCACATCCCATCTGGATCACTTCTCTGTTGCAGCAGCTCCAGTGGCTGCCAGCATGTTTCTGGGCACAATTCAGAGTGTTGGTTTTGACCTGCAAAGCCCTATATGACTCCAGTCCAGATTATCTGAAGGACCGTATCTCTTTCTATGGGGGGGGGGGTGTTATGGGGGGAATTTGGGGATGATGAACTTGTTTGTGTGTTTTAAATGCATTTTTATTGTATTTATTGTATTTTAACTGTATTTTAACCTAACACACACAAAACTGTTTAATTGGGTTTTTTTAATTTTTGTATTTGTTTTGTTTAAAATTGATCAAAGTGTGTGGTTGTTACCTGCCCTGAATCCCTTCAGGGAGAAAAGCAGGGTATAAATAAAGTAAATAAATAAACAGAAAACAAAACACATATCTAAGGCAGTCCACAGGCCAATGAAGAAGTAGCTGGGAAGGAAGCCCCCAGCACCATCTTCTGGTCTTGCGCTTCCAGGAAGGAATGGAACAATTCCAAAACAGGGCTGTCATTGTCTTATGCCAGCAAGGAAGCCCAGGAAGATATGATGGTGAACGGTATTGAAAGCCACTGGACACTAATTAGTAGTCAATATAGTGGGATGTTGTAAAAGATCCTACCTTACTATAAAGAGGCATTAACCACCCAGAACATATATCACAAGAGCTACCTTGATGCACAGGCAATAGTAGTGTTCAATTGAGATCAGGAGATATCTTGTTATTTCTTGTTAGTGTTATCAAAAATAATATTTCAGTATCACCTCCATCTTGCATAGGTTTTTGATACAATTAGCATTAGACAATCCCTTTTCATAATAAGAATGATACCTTCAGAAAAGGAACGATATTTCCATCACTGGTCCTTTTTTTAACAGAATTCTTCTTTTTATTAGGATGCTTCTTCTTGCTTCTAGGATTCATATTGGCTCTTACAGATACAACTAAGGGAAGAAATGAGTAAATTCAGAAATGGTTGCATGATAAACCAGTAGATTCGATAAGGTTCCTCCCACTAATGCAGACTATACACCCACTCTTTACCTTTGAACTGGAAGGAATTGGTAGAAATGTCCTCTTGTTCTCCCATAAGATCTGACAGCTCTCAATTTATCACGCCTTTTTTCTGGAAACTATGTAAGAAATTACACATTAGAATGTTGTACTAAGCAACAATAAGAGGAAAACTAGACTTGTTTGGCAATATATAAGAAAACTCAGTTCTTGACGCAAAAAAAAATCACTCTGTGTTTTATCCTTAAGAGATTTCTGGAAATACTCATGATACAACATGATGCATCTTTCCAGTGCTGTTTCCAGTGTCATCAGTTCATCAATGTAAACTGATGATATGGTGTTTACTCCCAACATCAAAGCAAGTAAAGGGATGGGTTGCTGTGAGTTTTTTTTTTTTTGTTGTTGTATGGCCATGTTCCAACAGCATACTTTCCTGCCATTTTGCCTGCATCTGTGGCTGGCATCTTCAGAGGTTCTGTTGGCAACAAAGCAAGTGGAATGTATATATATATCTGTGGAATGTCAAGGATGGAGGAAGAACCCTTGTCTGTTTAAAGCAAGTGTGAATGTTGCAATTAGCAAGCTTGAATAGCAGGAGTAACCATGAAGGTGCAAAGTCAATCAGTAAAAGCATCTTAATAGAAGTAGCCTGTCCTCTGTTGTCTGGAAGCATCCCCTGTTTGGGAGGTGTTAACTGTCAGTATATGGTTTTATACGATGCGTGGTTTCAGTAATGTATGAGTTAATACATAGAGTTGTGAAGTATTTCTAGAGTGTAACTTTCGGAGGTTCCTGTGCTGACTCAATGAAGAAGGGTAGATAAGATTGGAATGTGCTTCTTGCGGTATGTTGAGATGTGAACGGACATGATTGAAAGTTATATTACGTATATAGTGTGTATTTACCAATAAAGACAAGTGCCACTTTTGTTGAAAGTTGAATTAAGGAGTCCGGAGGTATTCGTGCCTTCAGGCAGATGCTTAAAAGGTCAAAGGAGATTGAGATAAGGAAGGAAATTTATCACAATTAACCAACATTAACTGGCCCTTGATAACTTCTGAATGGTTATCAATAATAATAATAATAATAATAATAATAATAATAATAATAATAACCAACACACAAAAATACTGTGGGACTTTCAAATTCAGACTGATAAAATTTGGAACACAATGCGCCAGATATCACGACTGTGGAAAAGAAAAAAAGTTTGGATTATTGATGGCGCCATACCAGGTGACAGTTGCATTGAGGAAAAACAACAGAAAAACTCAGCCGTTATCAGGACCTCAAAATCGAATTGCAAAGTCTCTGGCATAAACCAGTGCGGGTGGTCCCAGGGGTAATCGACACACTGGGTGCCATTCCAAAAGATCTCAGCCGGCATTTGGAAAAAAATAAACATTGACAAAATCATGATCTGTCAACTGCAAAAGGTCGCCTTACTTAGATCTGCGTGCATCGTTTGAAAATACATCACAAAGCCCTAGACGCTTGGGAAGTGTTCAACTTGTGGTTTTGTTATACGAAATCCAGCATATATATCTCGTTTGCTGTGACATACTGTGTGATTTTTTTATCCTGCCCGGCTGCCCCCATCTTCCTGAAGGGACTCAGGGTGGCTTACATGGGGACAAGCCCGGTCAAACATAGAATTAAAACATAGCATAGGAAAATGTATAAGAACAACATCCTAAATCAACATAAAATATCATCATTATTTACTGTCTTGATTCTGGTGGTTTTTAGTGGTAATCAGAATTTGTTCATTTTCATGGTTTCCTCCTTTTTACTGAACACCAGATTCAAGATAGTAAATTTCAAGACAGTAAATAATGAACACAAAATTGGATGGCTGCAAGTGGCCATCCAATTTTGCAATCTTTTTTTTTAAAAAAAAACCCTAAACTTTAAAAAGGAGCTGCGATAGGTATCAGTGATAGATTAACCCAGACATGGACAAATTTAGGTCCTCCAGATGTTTTGGACTTTAACTCCCACAATTCCTAACAGCTAGTAAGCTGGCTGGGATTTCTGGGAGTTGAAGTTTAAAACACCTGGGGGGATGATAATAAGAACTCAGGGAGCGCATCAGGGTTGGGGAATATAATCTTCCAGATGTTGTTGGAGAGCAACTCTAACTAGCTCTAGTCAGCATTCCCAATAGCAAGGGATAATGGGAATTGCAGCCCAACAAGTCTTAAAACAACCACATGTTCCCTCACCTCTGAGATACATCAAGGTTGCAACAAAATATTAAAACAATATTGAAAGAGGGCCAAAGAGAGTTGTGTTCAGATCCCCATTCTGTCATGACATTTACAGGATGAAGGAGCAATGCTTCTGCTCTTCTCTGTGTCAATACAACCTGTTTTCTGGAGTATCACCAGTGGTCAAAGAATCCAGACCTTCCTCACAGGGTTGTTTTAAGGATAAACCAGGAAGCAGAGATCCATGAAACGACTTGGGCTTTCTAGAAGAAAGAGTGATATAATGTTACAAATAACTGAGTGAGTGCATCTCAACATAAAAAGGAAAAAATTAGGGGAGGGAGTGTGAAATCTAGCAACACCCTCATCTTCTTCCTATTCTGCTTCCTCCTCTCCCTTCACTTTATCCTTTCCTGTTCTTCTTCCTCATATTTCTCCTCCTTTTAACTATTATTTAGCCCCAATCCTACCATGATTAGAATAGACCCATATGATTTATGTAACTGTTGACTCACCATACAACAAGGTAGGTTGACTAGAGCTTGAGTAGGTTGACTAGAGCTGGAACAATCCAACAATGCTATAGAGAAATGTGGATTATTATTATTATTATCTTTGACTTTTTAATTATTGGAATGTTTTCAAGCTGTGGTTGGTGAAATCCGTGGGTGCAGAACTGGTGGGTAGTCTCAGAATGGGTGCCTAGGGCACCCTCGCTATGTCTTCCTTCTCCCGTTTTCCTAATAGGAAACAATCAATTAAAAGTATCCAAAGGCAAAGAAATTATTTATTTAGTTAGTTATTTAGTTAGTTAATTTCTACCCCGCTTTTCTCCCGCAAAGGGACTCAAGGCAGCTTACAATTCCAGCAAAATTTCAATTCAAAAGCAATAGCAGCAATCCAAGGCATCCCACTGATCCTATCATTTGTGGTTGTTGTGGCCCTGACCCCTTTCCGACTAATGGCCCACCAACTCAGTCTGCATCTACACTGTAGATTTGACAGTGCTTTAACAGCCATGGCTCAATGCCACGGAATACTGGGAGTTGTAGTTTAGTGAGGCAGTAGTTTTCAAGGTCTTTGGCAGAGAAGGCGAAGTCCCTTTCTCTGGAGGATTTTAAGTAGAGGTTGGACGGCCATCTGACAGGATGCCTTTGATTGTGTATCCCTGCGTGGCAATCAAAGGGAATGGGGATGGACTGGGTGGTCCTCGGGGTCTCTTCCAACGCTGGGGACAACGCCCATGGTTCCATAGCATTGAGCCTTGGCAGCTGACAAACTGCATTAATTCTACAACGTAGATGTAACCCACTCCGCCCCCCAAAGCAAGCCCACTTACCTAAAAGGGGGGGGGGGGGGAGCGGTCACTCTCTGCTTCTCCTTTTTCAGATTCCCGCGCTTTCTCAAAAGGAAAGTGAAACTTTGACTCATGTTTCCCCATTCTGTGACGCAAAATACTCCTGGGCTGCTGATTGGCTTTTGTCGCGGAAGTCCTATTCCTAATAGATATAGGGAAGAGTCCAATTGATTTCCCTTGTATCCCGTTGTAGCCACTGGATAGTGTTATGTTGCAGGTGGCACCTGCTCTATCCAGGGGTGCATCTCCACTGGAGGTGATTGGATGGCAAGCAGTATTTTAGTGCTTTGGAAACTTTAGACTAGGCATGAGCTAACTTGGGTCCTCCGGGTGTTTTGGACTTCAACTCCCACAATTCCTAACAGCCGGTAGGCTGTTAGGAATTGTGGGAGTTGAAGTCCAAAACACCTGGAGGACCTAAGTTTGCACATGCCTGCTTTAGATGGTGGGGTTTTTTTTACTCCAACCCCCAAAATTCCTGAGTATTGGCTCACCTGACTGGGGCTCCTGGGAGTTGAAGTCCAGTTTGGAGAGATTTGCATTTGCAATATGCAATAATAAGTCAATAAAAACAAATTCCACAAGAGGGAGCTATTGTAAGCTGTAGAAATAATAGAAATATAATGCTGGAAGAGAACAAAAGGGTCATCCAGTCCAATCCTATTCTGTCATACAGGAATTGAAAGTAATTCTTGTAGGGCAAAATGGGTAGTTCTTGCGGTCCTTTCAATTTCTATGATAATTTATTGTGATCTGTTTTGCTGCAACCTCATTAATCCAAGCCAAGGTTCTACAAGATAGCTAGTCCTATCCCTAACTTTCCTACATTGAGTGAGGAACTCTGGAACTTTCTTCTGCTTAATGTTTGCCCTTATGCAGTGTTTCTCAACCTGGGGGTCAGGACTCCTGGGGGGGGTCGCGAGAGGGTGTCCGAGGGGTCGCCAAAGACCATCAGAAAACACAGTATTTTCTCTTGGTCATCTGGGTTACGTGTAGAAAGTTAGGTCCAATTCTATTGTTGGTGGGTTCAGAATGCTCTTTGATTGTGGGTGAACTATAAATCCCAGCAACTAAAACTCCCAAATGCCAAGGTCTATTTTCCCCAATCTCCACCAGTGTTCATATTTGGCATATTGAGTATTTGTGCCAAGTTTGGTCCAGATCCATCATTGTTTGAGTCCACAGATGTAGATGAACTACAACTTCCAAACTCAAGATCCATGCTCACCAAATCCTGCTAGTGTTTTATGTTGGTCATGGGAGTCCTGTGTGCCAAGATTGGTTCAGTTCCATCTTTGGTGGAAATCAGAATGCTCTTTGATTGTATATGAACTATAAATCCCAGCAAGTACAACTCTCAAATGATAAAACCAGTCCCTCCCCTAACCCCACTAGTATCCAAATTTGGGCATATTGGGTATTTGTGCCATATTTGGTCCAGTGAATCCTGCATATTGGATATTTACATCCTGCATATCGGATATTTACATTACAATTCATAACAGGAGCAAAATTACATTTATGAAGTAACAATGAAAATAATTTTATGGTTGGGGGTCACCACAACATGAGAAACTGTATTAAGGGGTCACGGCATTAGGAAGGTTGAGAACCGCCTTATGTGAATGGAAGATTTCGCATGTCTGTGGACCCTCTCTATCAGAGTTCCTGTTCATGGCAAGAGTTGTACTCATGTCCCACCAACTTTGAGCAGATCCCTACAGACCTCCCCACCCAACACAGAATTATAAGGGTGCATCTACACTATAGAATTAATTCGGTTAAGCACCACTTAAGAGCAAAAAAAAAACCCTTTAGAGCAGAATCTTCTCTTGTAGTCTACAACCAAATATAATAATGCTAGGCAATGATTTCAATTGTTAGACTGAATAACCAGCAATCTCTGATCTGTCAGGAAAACAGAGATTTGCCAGTGCACAAAAACAGCAGAGCTTTAGAAGTGTTTTCTTTTTCAGTGCCCAAAAATACTCTCCCATAAAACAACTTGTTTCATATCATGCACTCAAGAGACAAAATGATATCGACTTTGATGGAAACAACATATTTGGTTTACTCACAACTTGAGTTTGGCCCACCCCACCAATCTCGACACTTTATTGTCAAGGTATTCTTTCTAGATTGGCACACTTGGATTTTGCACTTTCCCTTGGCTCTGCTTAAGAATTTATTGCACTACTTGAGCCTAGATCCAGCCCAATTGTGTTTTCCAGCCATTATATCATTTTAATGTGTTGTTGTTGTGATTGTGGTGTTTTTATTTGATTGTTTTAATGCTATTGTTTTTTATCTATGATTTTTGGGCTTGTCCCCATGTAAGTCACCCCAAGTCCCCTTGGGGAGATGGTGGCAGGGTATAAAAATAAAGCTTTTTGGTGTTGTTGTTGTTGTTATTATTTCATGTGATCAGCATACACAGATACAAAAACGTATTAGTCCAGTTTCAAATATACTTTTAAATGGTTTCCTGTGCCAGCCAGCCAGGGCATCTCTCTTGTAACAAAAACAGCTATTAACAGGCCACATGTTGTCAAAAGGAGATAAAAAGAGCATGTAGTCTGCAGCCTTCTCAGAAACCATAGAGTAAAGGAAGCTGCACATCAGAACATACAGGAAACATAGACAGGCAGATTGCTTGAGAAGGCTTGATGAAGGTTGTCATTTCCAACACATCTGGCTAATGATTAGATTTATGTGGGATTTATGTATTTAGTAGGTTACACAAGGCAACAAACAAGACCCCTTTCTATTCCCCTTTGGCAGACTATTAGGCATTTGTTTCCAGATTGGCTCATTAGACAACATTTGTACTCAGATCTAAAACTAGAGGCTGTCAGACCGTGGGTGATGTTTTCACCAAAGCAAGCCATCCATGCCACCATAGAAGTGAAATGCTGGACAACCACTTGATTGTTCTTCTGAAGACTTGTGGGCAGCTCTTAGGAAAGAAATGCAATACAAGAGCCATATAACTCCCCCTCTACTAATAATGTGCAAGAACACAAGATGTGTGCCAAGACTGTGGGTGCTCCATGCTTAGAAGTTCAAGCCGAATGAGGGATATTGCCTTCTTCCTGCATCGACAGCAAGTCAAATCCTGTCTTTTGTGGGGGTCCATTAAGTATCTTTTGTGATCAAGCATGAAGGAAATATTGAAAAATCCCACAAAAAGGAAAAACTGCTGTTGGAAAAAGAGGGTCAGCGAAGTATTCCCTTTTAGTGGCCCTGAGAATGTCCATCTCTTTTTATATTCAGATCACCATGAAAGGGCCAAACCATACAATTGCTAGATTTGTTCCTCTGCAGCCAATTAAAAATGTTGTGTCTGGGTGTTTAAAAAGACACATCCCATAGATATAGAGAGGTATAATCCAAAGCAATACAGCAGTCATATTTATATGATCAATTGATTTGGGAAGTGATGGCCTGGGACTTGAATATCAGTTTTTGTTGACCTATACAATTCACTCTTGAGCATCTTGCATTCTCAGCCTGCCTGACAGGGTTGTTGTGAGGAAAATGTGGGAAAGATAAGAGCCAAGAAACACATCTCGAGCTTATTGAAGAAAAGGCAGGGTATGAATGCAGCTAATAAAATAAGCCCATAATAAGCTCATTTCAGCAGTCTCAGGAGAGTCTTTGGGGCTACACAGGTTTTGTGGGGAGCTTTAGGGGAGAAATTATAATAGAGTGAAAACCTTCAGAACAGCCGAGTGATGTTGTTATTGATTTTGTGTCAGGAGCAACCTGAGACTCTGCAAGTCGCTTCTAGTGTGAGAAAATTGGCCATCTGCAAGCACATTGCCCAGGGGATGCCTGGATGCTTTGATGTTTTACCATCCTTGTGGGAGGCTTCTCTCATGTCCCTGCATGGGGAGCTGGAGCTGACAGAGGGAGCTCATCCACACTGTCCCTGGATTAGAACCTCTAATCTGTCAGTCTTCAGTCCTGCCGGCACAAGGGTTTAACCCATTGCACCACCAGGCATAGTGAGATTAGAGCATTTAGTGACCATGGAGTGATGACTGTTCTGTGTGTATACTTGGCCTTTCACATTTGTGTGTTCGACTTCTGCAGATTTGATTATCCATGGATTTGATTTAAAAATTCTCTTTAAGACTCTCTAGATCCTTCAATATGACTCAAAGGTCACCCATTCAGCAATAGCTGACTAGCTGGACACATTTCTCCCTTTCACTCTCCATTTGTGCCTCTTCTTTATAGTTTGCCCTGGAGTTGATCTACAGAACCACTGTCTATACTTCCAAGGCATGATCCAAGGTGCTGAACCTTATCCCCAAATAGATTTGGCCAGTTGGGATGCCTGTTAAAATTTACAGTGAAACTCAGTATGCTGCACAGACATGGAAGCCACCAGCTGCTTGTCATTTAACACGGCTATTGGGGACGACTGGAAACCCCAGGATTGGGCGATCTGTCAGTGTTGCTCAGGCTGATTGCTGAAACAAGTGAGCAGTTATATCTGAAGGGAGATGCTAAGCAAGCCTCCAAAGGTTAAGTGTTTGCTTCCAAGGGCAGCCGCTGGGGAACCCCTTCTGAGAACGGCCAACTTAAGATGTCACATATCAGCTTACAAAGAGACGGGCTTCCCTGACAAGCATTAGCTCTGCCCTGGGAAAATGCCAGTTGGTATTTCTCCTCTTTGCAAGTGTTCTCCCTTCATGGGGTTATTGCAACCACAAAGGCCAACTCTTCCATCACAGAGTGATGGAGACAGCATCTCCATCATTCTTTCTATTAGTTATCTCTAAGATTAGTTCTTGTTTTTTTCTTCCTCAGTTATTTTTCAGTTTCATCTATAACTTTCCCCCATCTGTTGAGGCAATGTACATTACTGTCCTTCCACCTCTTGTTTTATCCTCACAGCCCTTAAATGTTTATCTGTGTGAGTGTGCATCCACACTGTAGAATTAATGCCGTTTGATCCCACTTTAACTGCCATGACTCAATACTATGGAATCCCAGGGAAGGGATTATTTTGCAAGGTTTTCTCTATCAGCAAACTACAACACCGGCAATTGCATAACATTGACCCAAGACAGTTAAAGTGGGGTCAAGCGGCATTAATTCTACATGTAGATGCACCCAGGGAGAGCAAAAGCAGCACAAGGTTGCCCAATGAGTTTCATGGCTCAGTGGAAACTTGAACCTGGATCTCCAACACCCAACACGCTGGCTCTTGACTTCTCCGGTGTCCAGAGTTAAACTGCAGCACACATTACACTGCTTCTAATGGAAGCAACTGTTCTAAAGTATTGCTTTGGGGTTTGGAAAGATTAGCCGTTTACAAGAAACGTTGCCCAGGGGACGCCTGACTGTATTTACTCAATTTTCAAGGAGACTCTTTCTGTGTCCCGCCCTGTTTGGCACAAGTCTGTCCATGTGAAGCAGGTGAATATTGCATTGAACAAAACATGCAGAACAATCACCGGGCATGTCCCTTGTAAGCCGTCCCGAGTCCTCTTAGGGAGATGGTTGGCGGGGTATAAAAATAAAGTTATTATTATTATTATTATTATTATTATTATTATTATTATTATTATTCCTACCCCCCCCCCCCAATGTGCAAGGGAAAGTTGCTGCTAACTGTGAAAGAATTAAGGTTGAACACGGTGAAAACCACCCACTACATGGCTACCAGCCTCCTCCCAGTAGACTCAAATCAAGGAAAAGCTTCATGTGAACCACCATTCCTCTTAATGTCCCCCAGCAACAGCAAGAGCATCCCTGTGGGCAGCTAAATCAGGAAATCCTCAATGGATGGTCCTCCATGAGGGTCTGCTTCCAGGGGCAAACCAAGAATGGTCAACTAGTTGTTGTAGTTCATTCATCCAGTCATTTCCAACTCTTCGTGACCTCATGGACCAGCCCACGCCAGAGCTCCCTGTTGGCCGTCACCACCCCCAGCTCCTTCAAGGTCAATCCGGTCACTTCAAGGATCCCATCCATCCATCTTGCCCTTGGTCGGCCCCTCTTCCTTTTTCCTTCAATTTTTCACCAGCATAATTGTCTTCTCTAAACTTTCCTGTCTCCTCATTATGTGGCCAAAGTACTTCATCTTGGCCTCTACTATCCTTCCCTCCAATGAGCAGTCAGATTTATTTCCTGGAGAATGGACTGGTTGGATCTTCTAGTGGTCCAAGGCACTCTCAGAACTTTCCTCCAACACCAGAGTTCAAAAGCATCTGTCTTCCTTCTCTCAGCCTTCCCTATGGTCCAGCTCTCATATCTATAGGTTACTACAGGAAATATCCGCTTTAACTATGCGGATCTTCGTTGCCAGTGTGATGTCTCTACTCTTCACTATTTTATCGAGATTGGTCATTGCTCTCCTCCCAAGAAGTAAACGTCTCCTGATTTCCTGGCTGCAGTCTGCATCTGCAGTAATCTTTGCACCTAGAAATACAAAGTCTGTCACTGCCTCCATGTTTTCTCCCTCTATTTCCCAGTTATCATTCTTGTTGCCATAATCTTTGTTTTTTTTATGTTTAGCTGCAACCCAGCTTTTGTGCTTTCTTCTTTCACCTTGATTAGAAGGCTTCTCAGCTCCTCCTCACTTTTGGCCATGAATGTGGTGTCATCTGCATATCTAAGGTTGTTAATGTTTCTTCCAGCAATTTTCACCCCAGCTTTGCATTCGTCAAGCCCCGCACATCGCATGATGTGTTCTGCATACAAGTTAAAAAGGTTGGGTTAGAGGATGCAGCCTTGCCGTACGCCTTTCCCAATCTTGAACCAGTCTGTTGTTCCGTGGTCAGTTCTTACTGTTGCTCCTTGGTCCTTGTACAGATTTCTCAGGAGAGAGACACGGTGGCTTGGGATGCCCATCCCACCAAGAACTTGCCACAATTTATTATGATCCACACAGTCAAAGGCTTTAGAATAATCAATAAAACAGAAATAGATGTTTTTCTGAAACTCCTTGCCTTTCTCCATTATCCATGGTCAACTTGGAAGTCCCTAAACAGACTCAGAAGTGGAGTGGGCAGATCAAAAGACAACCCGGCAAAATGGCACTACTTCGAAGAATCCTCCACTTTGTGCAACTGTGGAGCAGAACAAAGAACTCCACAGCTGTATGCTTGTCCACAATGTCCTGCCTCATGTACAGAGGAAGAATTGTTTAAATCTACAGGCAATGCAGACGCTGCTGCCCATTTCTGGTCAAAAGATATCTAGCCGCTTGCGCTACTTCTAGTTTTATCAGTTTTATACAATGCTTTTTATATGAAATAAATAAAATAAACTGATGCAAATGTTCCCCGAAGATTTCCAAAGTGTGGTCCCACTTTGGCATACAAATAGTGCCACTGAAGGCTAGATATTCCCCATTTCTATTTATCTGAAACCGCATGGACCCTGATCCTCCTGGGCGAGGAGGTTTCAATTTCGTTTTCGTCTCAGGCTGGAAATTCCCGGCTGAAAGGCTAACCGATTCCAATACAAAGAGAAGGGTCATGATCCAAGGAAAGGGGTGAGAGGCCGCGATGGGTTGGTAGAAGGGACTTTTTCGGAGGGGCTGGTGTTTCCCTTTCCCCCAGCAACTGCTCCT